CATCCATGCTAATCCTCCTCTTTTTTTTTACTGAGGAAGACCGGCTCTGAGCTAACATCTATTGCCAATCCTCCTCCTTTTTTTTTCCCCAAAGCCCCAGTAGATAGTTGTCAGTAGATAGTTATATGTCGTAGTTGCACATCCTTCTAGTTGCTGTATGTGGGACACGGCCTCAGCATGGCCGGAGAAGCGGTGCGTCAGCGCGCACCCGGGATCCAAACCCGGGCCACCAGTAGCGGAGCGCGCGCACTTAACCGCTAAGCCACCGGGCTGGCCCCTTAAAAATTATTAATGATATATTTTACATTCTTTTTTTCATCCTATGTCTTCAAAATCTGGTGCACATCTCAGTTTGGCACATCTCAGTTCAGACTACCCACATTTCAAGTGCTCAGTAGCCAGATGTGGTGAGTGACTACTGGATTAGACAACACAGCTGTAGAGTATAGTTCGTAGTCTTTGTCCAGAAGGTGAATTAAACCTGTCTTTGGACACAGCCAAGGATAGTACTCATTTTTTCATGTAGACAACAAAGTTTGGTGAAGTCTAAAGATGTTAAAATGGGGCCAGCCCTGTGGCCTAGTGGTTAAGTTCAGTGCATTCCACTTTGGCAGCCCGGGTTCAGGTCCTGGGAGTGGACCTACACCACTCGTCAGCAGCCATGCTGTGGTGGCAACCCACATACAAAATAGAGGAAGATGGGCACAGATGTTAGCTCAGAGTGAATCTTCCTCAAGCAAAAAGAGGAAGATTGGCAACAGATGTTAGGCCAGGGCGAATCTTCCTCAGCAAAAAAATAAAATGAAATAAAATGCATTTATTAACAATACTTATGCTTTATACTTAAGTAGAAAGGTTACGTGAATACTTATATTCTTATACATTAACCTTTGGGAGGGCATTTTGGCTCAGTTTTTCAAGTTTAAATGTGTACACCTTTTGGGCCCACCCGGTGGCGCAAGTGGTTAAGTGCGTGCGCTCGGCTGCGGAAGCCTGGGGTTCACCGGTTCGGATCCCGGGTGCGCACCGGCGCACTGCTTGGCAAGCCATGCTGTGGCGGCATCCCATATAAAGTGGAGGAAGATGGGCACGGATGTTAGCCCAAGGCCAGTCTTCCTCAGCAAAAAAAAGAGGAGTATTGGCAGATGTTAGCACAGGGCTGATCTCCTCACAAAAAAAAAAAAAAAATGTGTACACCTTTTGATTTACTAGCAATTTCATATCTCAGAATTTATCCCACAGAAATATGTGAACAAATATACAATAATCTACATATACAAATCTTCACTTGAGCACTGTTAAATATGGTTTTTAAAAGGGGGAGGCTGTATAAATGCCCATCAATAGGAGATTAAATAAATTATATTGACACAATGGAATACTCTACAACTGTGAAAAAGAATAGAATATGACATATGGTTCAGTGGAAAAAAGCATAATGCAGAATATTAAGTATATTACAATCTCATTTTTATGTGAAAAATGTCTTAAGTTTATATTTGTCTTTATATGGAAAATGCTGCAGTCAAACTTAACAGTGACTGTTTCTGGGAGATAGGACTACAGGGGACATGTTAGTTCTCTATACATTTCTGTATTTGAATTCTTTTTATAAAAATTATATATTTTTATTAATTAGGAGATATTAATAATAAATAATAAATAATAATTTATTATTTATTAGTTAGGAGATAAAGACATTTATAAAATGTTATAATAAATTTTATAAAATTTATTATAAAAATAAATACGATGCACAGAGATTTTGTTTTTGCATCTTATAAAAAGTGAAGAATTGGAAGTAATATAAATGTTCAAAAATATGAAAACATATTATGGTACTTCCGCTCCTGGAGTTGTGTACAGCTATTCAGATACAATGCTAAGTGAAAAAAAGAGGATACAAAATTGTGTGTGTGTGTATATAACAGGATCACTATGTAAAACAAACATAGCTAACCAAAATGTTAATAACAATTGTCTGTAGGTGGAGGAACTTCATGCATTTTTGTGTGTGCTTAGTTGGTTTGTCTTCCAAATTTTCTATAATTAATTTATACTTTTTCTATTACTCTAGTAATGTGAAAAATGTCATCACTGTTATTCTTGTAAAATTCATTTGCTAAAAACAAGAATGAAATTTGGGAGGCTTAGTGGTGGCTGGTAGAGTAGAGAATCAAATTTGATATGTGTGAAAGTGTTTTTAAAACTGTAAAACATTATGCACGTGAAAATATTTATCATGTTTTTGTTTGTGGATAGTCTTTTGCCCAAGAAGAGTTTTTTTGGTTAGAATTTTATAATATGCGTACTGTCATACAGCCTCTTCTATTATAGTGAACAGAAATGGATACCTTCTTTAAATTCTCTTTGGTATTATTGGTCTGTGCAAGGTCACATGTTTGTTCAGCCCCTTTCACCAAAGGATCTCAAAGCACTTCATACAAAAATACCTTTTTTGGGGCTGGCCCCGTGGCTTAGCGGTTGAGTGCGTGCGCTCCGCTGCTGGCGGCCCGGGTTCGGATCCC